GTCGCAGATGGTCTCAGATGCGGGTTTCAAATGAGCATTTTAAAATGTTTTCAAAATAAGTCTGGCACTTTGGAGAAAACCCAGGACTCACTGGAGGGATTATGTATCCCCTCTGGCCTGGGAACGTCTCGGAGTCCCCCAGGATGAGCTGGAAAGTGTCGCTGGGGAGAGCGGGGTCCCTCTCCTGCTGTACCTGCACCCGATAGCGGATAAGCCGGCCGGACGGACAATTTATATTGTTAGTCTAAATTATTACATTTAAAATTATAACTCTAATGCAAGCAGAATAGGTTATTGTCAAAATAATTATGGAGTGTAATTTATTTTCAACTCAAAATATCTTCAAACTAACGAAATATAATATTATTAGGGAGGAAAACCCATCTGGATAACAGCAGACTGACTGCTGGTAAAATATACGACAGGTATGGACCACTCGTGAATTTTGTTCGTATCTGAAAAAAATCGTAGAATACTAAAACATTGGTGAATGCCACAAATTCTCCTAAATCACTCGTACGCACAATTTAAGAACAAATCTGTGCGTACGAACGGTTCTTGCGTGAGGCCCATTGGCTCTAAATCCATACTGACTGTTACTTAAGACAGGGTTCGACAAATCGTATTGCTCGACTGCCTGGGGCAGGTAAAACTCATATTTGGGCAGGTGGGTGTATCCCAATGCCTGCCCGACAGGGCAGGTAAACAATTTCTTTTATTTTTCGTAGGGCCATTTATTCAAAATATTCTGAAAACCAATGAAGAAATATGATGTTTTAAAACACGTAAAGAGAGAATAAATCTTCAAAATGTCCCCCTCCCCTCTGTAGAAAAGTTACATCGTGCTGTCGTGTCGCGGGATCATTTCCTCCCTCCCTCCCGCTGCACGTCGTGCAGAGTGAAGCTTTAACAACCGTAGTTTTTTCACACCCAAGTTGTTGGAGAAAAATCTTGTTTTTTATGTATTGTTACCCACAGAGATGATAAAAAAAGACGGGGATGTTCGTTCAGTCATAAATCCATCTTGTTATGGTCGGTCTCTGCTGTGAGCGCAGCAGCAGTGGGCAGAAGCTCACTTTATGGCAGGCTGACATTGCATTTATTTGGCTTCACCATTCTTACATTCCAGTAATCTGAAATTGTTTTATGACTACATTAGACAGATTAGTTATTTCAGATAAAATAAAATGTTTTTGTTTAATTTTGTTTTGTTTTATTTACTTATTTTTTTTAATTTGGAGATCTTTCCAGCTTGAGCTTGTTTGTTTGTTGAAGTTGATTTTTCAAAATAAGGGACACATAGAGTTTTTTCCTTCACTCTGCACCCTTTTAATTCAGGGTAGGGTTTACTTTGTTTTTTTAATGCTGTACATATTGTTTTGTTATAGACATCTCTTAATGTATTTTGACAAGGCAAAATACCTATTTAAGATATCTCTAATTATATTCTGAAAAAACATTAGATTTAATAGGTTGTATGGAGACTCCAGTTCAAGATATATTAAATGTATCTTTAGATATGTGATTCACTATATAAGATTTAATTAATGCAAATTTCAGACTTTTTCATGTTCTGTAAATTGTATAAAAGAAAGCTGCTGCTGTTGATCATTCCATTTTCATAAGCAGCCCTCCCAAGACCAATATGGGAAACACTGGAAAGGTCTAAACCAGTGGTTCCCAAACTTTTTGTCTTCTGACCCACACAATATTCATGGCAAAAACTTGTGACCCCAAATATTACTGGTCTGAGTACACAAACTTTGTTAATAACCCTAAAAACACAGGCTTTTTGACAATCTTAACCATGCATACACAAATATAAATACTTATTTATACTTATTTTGTGTTTTTGTAATAATTATAGGGAAAATATTACATCAGCAATTATTTTATTACCCTTTAAATTGATTTCTGGAGATTATCCAAAGTGCTTCATGACCCATAATTGGGTCAAAGCCCAACTTTGGGAACCAAAGTGCAGTGGTTCCCAAACTTTTCAGCTTCTGACTCACAGAATAGTATAAAACAGTAGCAGAGACCTGTGCCCCCAACTATTTTTGGATGATAAACATTTGTATCAGGTCAACTAAACATGGGCATAGTAACACTATTTTTATACTACATTTATCCATTTTAAATATAYTAACYTCACTCCTTTGTAACAACTAAGGCAAAAATGTAATTAATTCAGAAAATCTTTTCAGGAACCCACCTTGATGTTTCGGGACCCCGCTTTGGGTCCCGACCCCAACTTTGGCAAACACTGGTCTAAAAATGTTTATTGAAGATGTTTTTGATTAAAAAAAATTTTGACTGACAACCATGTTAATATTTTTGTAGTACAAAGTACAGTACACGTTTTTCTTATATTTTATCAAATTTTGAACATTTTTGTTTCAGGCATGTAATGTTTTATGTCGGGCAGGTAACACTTGTATTGGGTAGGTAAAAAATAAAAATCTTGTCGAACCCTGACTTCAGATATTATTTGTATCGATGAATTGATCTAATCTGATCACAAATAATTTTTCCAAGATTTTTAATCTGTAATTATTAAATATACATTTCTTACCATTTTTGTAAATACGAATTACCAAATGATGTAGTTTTATCTGGGGGTGGTTGGTTATATTGACAGGATCAAGTTATTGTGGGGGTCATAACCCCCCTAACCCCCTCTGCAAATTATGTCCATGGTATCAAGCGAATCAACAGGAACCCAAAGTTATTTCTGGTTGCAGTTTAAATAGCTTTTATATTTGTCAAACAAATATATTGTGTATTTTCAGTATTTTGTAAGACCATCAAAGTTTAAAGATCTGCAGATTATTTAACAGATTATGGCCGCCTCACTTCTGCTTTTAACATTAATACATTGATTTGCTACTCTTGAGTTGTTCAGTCTCGTTTAATTTAAACAGAATTAATGATTTGTTTTTCTTAGCACACTCTATGAACATCTAGTCTCGCCCTATGTTTGTTGTGTTCACACCAGTTTTTATTTCTCATCTATCATCACTACCTGGGCTGAAGTTTGACACAAAGTTTGTTTTTCATCCAGATCCTTTACCCTCAGCGATGCAGGATCTTCTGTTAATGCACAATGATTTCCCTCCTCGAGCCCACTGCCTTGTCAGATGGTGAGTTTATCACGTCTGCCATGTTAGCAAAATATCTCACAACGAGTAGATTTTGGTAAAACTTAGAGAGTAATCATGTACAACCCCAGTCTCAATACAGTTGGGATGTTCTGTAAAGTAATAAAAACGGAATACGAGGGTTTGCAAATCCTTTTCAAACAACATTCAGTTACACTACAAATACAATATATTTAATGTTCAAATGGATAAACTTAATTTTTTTTTTTTTGCAATTCACTCCTTTCGAATTTGATGCTGCAGCACATTTAAAAAAATCTGGGACAGGAGCAACAAAAGACAGAGAGTTGATGAATGTTCAAAAACAGGTTAATTGAAAACAGGTGAGTGTCATGATTGGGTATAAAGGAAGTATCCCTGAAAGGCTCAGTTGTTCACAAGCAAAGATGGAGTGAGGTTCAACACTTTGTGAACAACCGAGCAAATAGTCCAACAGATGAAGAACAACGTTTCTCAATGCACAAGTGCAAAGAATTTGGGGATTTCATCATCTAATCTGGACAAATCTCTGCAGTACGACTGAAAACCAACATTGAATGCCCATGAACTTTGACCCCTCTGCTGTATTAAAAACCAACATCCTTCTGTAAAGTGTAATATTCAATTAGATGAGTTTCGGAGTCGACTCAATTCAGGATGGCCATCATATCCATTCAAGAGTTTCAATAGAATGTATCTAGACGGTCACAAGATATTTTACTAACAAACAGGTTTAAGTAGCTCTTACTGCAATGATTCGCAGCTACCACCCCACTAAGTGAGATATTTTACTAACATAACCTTCCCTGTAGTAGGCTACAATGAAGCCTGTTCACAATATTAAGCAGTTCTGTCTCCAAAAATAATAAAACAACAAATTTTAGCTCCACGTTGACATGTTTCCATGTTGTGACAAATATAGGCTGTTGTTAAGGTTCTATGGGCTCTGATTAAATTGTTTTTGTGGCGACAGGTACGGTCTACGAGAGTTTGTGGTCATCACCCCAGGAACAAACTGCGAGGCCATCATCAGCGAGTCCAAATGTAATTTGCTGCTCAGCTCCATCTCCATCGCTCTGGCCAACAGTGGTTGGTGAGTCACTTCATGATTAAAGGCTGAATATTCAGACACAGGAAGCTTTCCAGAATAATCAACAGACACAGATGAGTGGATCAGAAAGTGACGTGCTTGAACCTTGGAGTTCAGCTTGAATGGTTTTAACAGAGTTACCATCTGAGCTATTGTCTGATCAACCTGGGTCCACGTCTTGGGAGATTGTCTACAGTCCTGTGAAGTTGCTACTTTAAACCTTCAGATTGTTCAACTTTACCCAATCGAAGATTCAAGAGTCAAAGATTTTTTTATCAATTCAACCTGGAAAGACTCACCCCGGATTTATACTAGATGCGTCTCCGCTGCGCTGCGCTGCAGTGCGCAGTTCGCAGCTTTTTGTTTGTGCCCCAATTTATACAGTGTCCGCTGAGCTCAGCCCCGGTCCGGTCCAACAGACAGAGGAGGGAGGGTGTGCAGGAAGGAGATCTCGCGATAAATCCACTGATAAAAGTGGAACTCAGATCAAAAAACAATTAATTCTGTTAAAAACTAACTCAAAACACAGCTGAAAACAACAATATAAAAGTTTTTGATATCTATGGTTGAAACTATTTGCTGTCATCTTTTTAAAACTTTTGATTTCAAAATAAAATCCACATGTATCATGTATGTACACATATGCTTCATGCTACATGTTTCCATCTGCTTCCCAAACAGAGCGATACATTCTGACAGCATTTGTGTCGAAATATAACCATATATTTATTAATATAGCTGGGATTTTGACAATATTCCGACAAATTATCCAGCCTAATAGTGTCTTATTTTGACAATACGGATGTTGTGCTAGTTTCTTTTCCTGTTGGTGCGACGTAATCTTTAAAAATTGACTCCGGAGCAGCTCCAACGTCCGGCAGAAATAGGATCTGTTCTAAATTTGCCGGATTGCTGTCCGCTCACCGCTGCCATGCACAGCCTTTGTAAACACTCTCATTGATTATAATGGGTGCATATTTGCTGCGGAGGGGAGCGGAGCGGAGACGGAACACATGTAGTGTAAATTGTGGGTCAGAAATAAACAGTTTTATTGATTTGAGAAAGTTCTTTGGTGCTCGAGCCCTGGCAGAAGCTGTGAGTGCAGCGAACTGCTGTGAGCTAGCACTCAGCTTAGGTTTTAGGACTAACGTCTTCCCCCGGGGCTCGGACACTGGTGGTGGTGTGGAGGCCAGAGGGAAGGGGTAGCCAGGCAGAGTTTGAGATGAAGGTGGAGAAGGGGTGGAGGTGGATTGAGACTGATCCTTGGGTGCTGGCTCTTTAGACCTGGATCCCTGTGAGTTGATTGGTACGGTGAGGCGAGGATCTGACGCTGATTGACTGTAGCTGGGAGCGCGACGTGGTGATTGGATGGAGCAGGTGAGGTGGAAAAAATCTTCCACTCAGAATTTACGCCTAGGCTTCATTTCCTACAATATTTTCAGGACATACAGGAAAACTGAGCATTCATATGTTTGTCTCTATAAATGGATTTAGATATTGAAAACATTTTATACAAACACTATAGAAAGAATAGAAAAAAGTTATTATTTTTGGCTTCAGCATCCTGACAGTCTGGTGGATGAAGCTGTTAACAGTCTTTTGGATCAGGCCTGGAGGCTCCAGGACCTTTTTTTTAGAAACCAGTTCTGAAGTTTCATTCAATCAGAAACCAACTCTTAAAGTCTGGTTCACACAGCAAGATGAGTGTGCTGATATTTGGCCCAATTTGCCCTTCTGATAATCTCAAGGCAGCCCAGATTATCATAATGGCTGTCTCTTTAAGAACCTCCTACAGATTCCGTCACGCCCATTTCTGCTCATCATCACAGCAGCTTCAGGCCGTTTACAACCTGGAGCATTGTAGCGTACATTGTTGTAATAATAATAAAAAAGCAGCAACATTATACAGTATCTGTTTTGGAAAATTGCAACTCAGGATAAAACTGAACCTTATTGTCAGACCAGAATTTTTTTTGAAGAACCAGAGCGAGTAGAGAGACGTTTCAGCTGGTAAGATATCTCATCCTCACAGAAACACATCAGTGTTGAGCTAATTTATTTATTACTAAAATGTGGTGGAAGCCAACTAAAGAACATAGACCATAATATAAGTTACAAATGCTAACTGTAGATCACAGATAGACCAAACAACCGAACAAAACATGAGTAGTTTTTCAGTTTACCTGGTCAGATGACAGCGGTGTTTGTGTTCTTCTGAGTGTTGCTGCATCGTCCTTTAGTGACAATCTGTTGTTAGTCTACTGTTCCTTACTGTCTCCTTTGATGTCACATCACTCTTTACGTGCGTTCCTGTTGATAAGGCGGTGGAGGTGGTCTGTGTAAGATTAAAATCAGACACGAATCTTAGCAGCAGAACCACTCTTTCCACAGAACCACTGTGTCATCTTCTGAAACTGTGCCTGGAATCAATCTATTTCACATATAAACACCCAGCCCATGGGGAGCCAATAGCACACCCAGCAGAAACATGGGTGTGCTATGGGCTCCCCAGTTTCCTCTATTGTTGCAAACCTGTACATGGAGGAGTTGGAAAAGAGTGCTCTGATGTCCTTTACAGGGACACCACAGAGCCATTGGTTCAGGTATGTTGATAACACCTGGGTTAAAATTAAATCCCAGGAAGTCCAACATTTCACTGATCACATCAACTCTGTGGATAAATATGTAAAATTCACACGAGAGGATGTAAAAGATGGCACGTTGGCATTCCTGGACTGTGATGTTTCAGTTTCGGATGGAGGACGGTTAGAAACTGACGTGTATCGCAAACCCACCCATACAGACCAGTATTTGTGTTTTGATTCCCATCACCCACTGGAACACAAGTTAGGAGTCATCAGAACTCTGTACCACAGAGCAGACAGTGTCCCCACAAACCCAGGAGCCAAGGAGAAAAAGTCAAACACAAGACAGGCCCTGGAGCAGTGCGGTTATCCTAACTGGGCTTTTCTGAAAGCAGACAAGAAACCCAAATAGGATTCCAGCCAACAACCAGGTGAAAATGAAGAAAGGAAGCCATCTTTGTGAAGAAAAACCGTCCACCATTAAACAGAGGTGGAGGCCTTCATGTCCAGTTGTCCTCCTCCTACAACGCTGTTATTGCAAGTATGACTCTGCCCCCTGTGAGCAACAGGTGTGAATCAGGGCCCCAATGATACCAACACAAAGGGAAAAAACAAAAACAAAGGGATTTTGAGCCCCGCTTGCATTCACTACATACACATAACACGACACCTAAGAACCACAGCATCCATACCAATAAGTCAGATGATGGGGCACATGACCCTCTATGAACAATAGAGCTAATCAAGCCTATTGTTAAGCGATGGCCCTCTTTTGCATGTGACTAACCTGTTTGTCCACCATGGGAGGCAGTGCTTATAAGGCTGAGTTCACCTGAAACCCATCTGACTGAAGAAGTCTGTTGGACGAGAGACGAAACGTTTCACTAAAGAAGAACCCATCCAGAGGACCTACTTATTTTTTCTTTTTGAGTCTACTGTTAAGTTCACTTTTGTTCAGAAAGCTATCATCCTAAAGTGGCTTGCACAAATAAATAAATAACTTTTTTTTCTTCCATCAGAGGGTTAGAGGGTGGGGGACACTCTGTGATGAGGAAGCTCAGCTTGGAGACAGCCCAGAGGAGGAGCTGATCCCAAAAGGAGATTCTAGGCCCAATCAGCCATTTTTGCTCCCCTGGCTGGCTGCCTCGGGACACTACAGGATTTCTCAAACATGCATGAATGAGTCAAAGTAAGACTCTGGGCATGTTTTTGATGAGAGGTTCACAAGATATATTTACTAACATGATTTAAAACTCACTCAGAAAAATAGATTTTACATGATATTGCACCTTTAAGACTGATCTACTTGGCTCGGACAGACGTCAGGACTGCTTTGATTGCAAATGTCAGAGGTCTATAAAGTAGTTGAAAAAAAAAAAGAACTAAGTAAAAGTAAAATTACATGAACAGAAAATGACTTTAGTAAAAACAATTTTCACTGATGATAAAACTACTCAAGTAAAAGTCATAAAACTGTTCACAAAAATTCTGAAATTAAAAGTAAAAGTAAGTAAGTAAACTTTATTTCTATAACACCTTTCACAGACAAACATCACAAAGTGCTTCACAAAAAGCAAAAATAATTAAAAACAATAAAACAGATCACAGATACAAAAACAACAATTAAAACACAATAAAAAGCACTTAACTAAAAGCCTGTCTGAATAAAAATGTCTTAAGATGTTTCTTAAAAGAGTCAGTAGAATCTGAGTAAAAGTACTTTAACACACTCTCTAAGAAATAAACTGTTGAATTTACTGAACCAAACTGGTTCCACTAAGCCAGGTTGAGTAAATTGAACAATATATGTATTTTTTGCTCAGTTTACTCCAGGGTTCGACAAGATTGTATTTTTTTACCTGCCCTGTCGGGCAGGTGACAACAAATGTTACCTGCCCGACATGAAAAGTTACCTGCCCGAAACAAAAATGTTCAAATTTTGATAAAATACGAAAAACGTGTACTGTATTTTCCATCCATTTTCTGTACACGCTTCTTCCTTTTCAGGGTTGCGTGGTTCACTGGTGCCCATATACAGCAGTCACAGTGCGAGGGGTGGGGTACACCCTGGACAGGTCGCAAGTCCATCACAGGGCCACACATAGAGACAAACAAGACAAACAAGCATTCACTCTCTCACTCACACCTAGGGACAATTTAGAGTTATCATTTAACCTAACAGTCATGTTTTTGGTCTGTGGGAGGAAGCCGGAGTACCCGGAGAAAACCCACACATGCACGGAGAGAACATGCAAACTCTACCCAGAAAGGTCCCCAGACCGGGATTTGAACCGGTGACCTTCTTGCTGAGAGGCATCAGCTCTACCAACTGAGCCACCGTGCCGCCATACTGTACTTTGTACTACAAAAAATATTAACATGGTTATTCAGAGATATATAATATGTGACATCTGATTA